TTCAGAAAAACCTGGAAAAACTTGTATGGTCTGATGCTGAGTGAAGTGAGAAGAACCAAGAAAACATTGTACACAATAACAGCCACATTGTGCGATGACTAATATTGATAAACTTAACCCTTCCCAGCAATACAAGGATCTAAGACATCTCCAAAGGCCTCATGATGGAAAATGTTATCCACATTCAAAGAAAGAATTATGGAGTTTGAATGCAGATCGAAGCATACTATTTGCTATTTTTTTCATTCTGTTGAGTTTTGTTTCCTCTTTCTGGTGGTTCCTCCTATTGGTTCTAATTCTTACTTATAACATCATTAATGTGAAAATATGTTTGATAGGAATGTATATGTATAGCCTATATCAGATCATGTGCCCTCTTAGGGAAGGTGGTGGGGAGGAAAGGGGAGAAAAATTTTAAACTCAGAAGCATATGGAAATGGTTGTTGATAAATCAAAAGAAATTAATTTTTTAAAAAAGGGTAACATGCTTCACCATCAAAAAAAAAAAAAAGAAAGTGGCCATGATCTTTATTCATGGCCCTTGGTTAACTAAAATATATCTAGGAAAGTTGAAATTTTAATTTTTTTCGTGCTGGAAAACTGTAGATTTTTTTAAATAAAAATGTTTATTGTCATTTGTTTTTGTTAATTCTGAAAATTTTTCTTCAATAATTTCCAGGATTTTAGCATCCAGATTATTTTGTTTTTCTAAATTTTCTGGGATGTTAACAATTTTGTTATTGTTATATCTTAACCTACCCTCTACATCTGTCCCTTGTATATGTATGTTTTTCATTTCTTTCAATAAAGTTATATTTGATAAATTCATTTTCCTACTTTGTCTATGTTGTCTGCAATTTTATTTTTCATGAAAGCAAGTCTTTTGCTTCTAATTTTTTTCAGTTACATTTTTCGTGTTAGTCTTTTTTTAATGATTTCTCCCAAATTGGAGGATGTGTCTTTTAATTAGACATACGTTTCCTCTTATGATTTTTTTCCATGTCTCTATAAGCTTTTCTTTTATCCACTATTATACTGTCCTTGCCAATATTAATTCTTGCTTAAATTCATTAAATATGTCATCTGTCTCAGGTGCATTGTGGTTTTTTTTTTTGCCTTTTTTATGTGTATTGCTTCTATTATTTTAGTTGTTTCAGTTATTCCATAGCATGTTTTAAAAATAAAGTATATTGTCATTCTATTTTTGCTTTGATCATTTTCTACTTTGATAGATTTTAATTATTTTTAATGAGTTTTTGGGAATCTGTTTTTCTTCCCTTTTTTAAAAAGGTCAAATCAACAACCATTTCTTTAGCACTTACTATTTGCCAGGCTCTGTGCTAAGTGCTGGTAATGCAAAGAAAGGCAAAAAACAATCTCTGACCTTAAGAAGCTCAAATCCAATGAGGACAGATGAGAATTTGGTTTCCTTGGAAGCTGTAACTCAGGCGTGGGGAACCTGCCATGTCAAGGACACACATGGCCCTCGAGGTTCTCAAGTGTGGCTGTTTGACTGAATCCAAACTTCACAGAACAAATTCCCTTAATAAAAGGATTTGTTCTGTAAAACTTGGATTCAGTCAAAAGGCTGCACCCAAGTTAGAGTCTAACTCTACCTTTTTCCGTATACCTCATCCATTCCCTAGCCAAGAGTTTACAAGTTAAAATAACAATAATAGTTAATTTATATAGTGCTTTAAGGATTGCACAGTGCTTTGTATATACTATCTCATTTAATTCCTACAACAACCCAGTGAGATGGGTGCCATTATTATTCCCATTTTACAGATGAAGAAACTGAAGAAGAGAAAAGTTAAGTGATTTGCCCATGTTCACACACCTAGTAAGTCTCTGGGGCAGGATTAGAATTCAAATCTTTCTGACTTGAGTACTCATTATGCTACCGATTCAGCTACTTTTTTTTTTGAGCTGTAATTCTTCTGGAGAAATTTCCAACATCATTTCTTTTTAGAAATTACGGTAGTTTGAAACCATGAACATGGAGTCAAAGTGGAGTAGTTTGAAGTTCTGGACCACACATGGTCTACTAAGCAGGAAACAATGATGTAGCAGCTATACTAAGAGGAAGTGACCCCCAGAATAATAATAATGATGAAGATGATAACAATAATTGTAATAAAAATAATGCTAACTTTTATATAGTGCTTACTATGTGCCAGGCACTATGTTAAGTACTTTAAGATTATTATTTCATTTGATTCTCACAACAACTCTGAGAGGTAATTGCTATTATCACCCCCATTTTACAGATGGCAAAAAGAGGTTAAGTGACTTGTCCAGGGTCACGCAGCTAGTAAGTGCATGAGGCTAAATTGGAACTCAGGTTTTCCTGACTCTAGGCCTACATCTATCCATGAAATCACCTCTGTGCAAGCGAGCTGGAAGCCAAGACCTGGAGCCAAGGGTGTAACAGACCCAAAAGCAGTCCACAGAAAGCATGTTGAGAGGAAGCAGTTTCTTCATCCCACCCACACACCCAAAGGCATAATTTCAGCTTCTCCTCATGTTTTCCTCAGAGATTTCTTTCCCATCCTCCACCTTGAGAGATGGAGAAGGTTGTACCTCCTTGTGTATGGAATCAGAGAAAGGGAAAGGAAGCTAGCAAGCATTTAAGTGCCTACTATGTGCCTGGTGTTGTGCTAAGCACTTTACAAATATTATCTTGTTTGTATTCTTCTACTTACTTTCTTGTCTTTATTTACACTATTTAATTAAATGCTCTTGCTGTTGGATTAGCTCAGCATGGTCTGTAAATAGAAAAAAAATTGCATGAGTTGGGGCTTGGAGCACGATTTGAGAAATTTATTGCCCAAAAGAGTTCACAATGAATCTGAGAAAAACAAGCAAGAGTTTTTAGAGCCTGAATTCTCAGAGACTTTAGAGGTCCAGTGTTATTATAATCACGTTAATTTGGTTGAGTCTCCTTCTCCTCTATGGGACTTGGCCTCTCCATTGTTAAAAATTAGGGGGTTAGTCTAAATTATTGGTTTACAAGCTTTTTGAATGTGCAGAATTTCTCAGAAAAAGCTAGGTGGTACAGTTGATAGAGTGATGGGCTTGGAGATAGGAAATTGTTCATTCGTGTCCAACTCTATATGACTCTATTTGGGGTTTTCTTTGCAAAGATACTGGAAGGGTTTGCCATTTCCTTCTTCAGTTCATTTTACATATAAGGAAACTGAGGCAAACAGAGTTAAGTGACTTGTCCAGGGTCACACAGATGATAAGTGTCTAAGGCTGGATCTGAACTCGGGTCTTCTTGACTAGCTGTCCTGGAAACAGGAAGGCCAGAGTTTAAATTCCATATCATACACTTACAAGTTGTGTGACCCTGGGCAAGTCACTTAACTCTGCCTCGGTTTCCTCAACTGTAAAATGGGATAATATTAGCACCTACCTTTAAGTGTTGTGGTAAGGATCAAGGAAATCATATTTGTAAAACTCCTGGCACATAGTAGGCATCTATTCAGTGCAATAAAAAAAATTAGTATCTTTAGATAAAATGCATGACTTTAAAAATGAACTATATTTTTAAAAAATTCATCACAGCCCCTATATACACTTCTAAAATATAGAGGGATAAAGGGGAGGCAGCTTTGATATAGTGGTGCTATACTAAGCTGGCCTTGGAGTGAAGAAGACTCTGAATTGAATTCTGTTTCCAACACATACTAGTTATCTGCATTGGTACGGGGTATTTACTCCCCAGGGGCTCTCTAAGCCAATGAAATCGAAGGTCTGGTAAAAAAAAAATGTAGGTGTGGGACATTATTCAGTACACAAAAGTATGTTTGTACATTTATTATATTTATCCCTTCCACATTGCGAGTCAGTATAAAAAATTAAATGGGAATTTTGGGGGAGTATTGTGGAAGCCACAAGCAACACATGAAGACCAGCAGCTGACACAGAAAAAGTTTAGAAACTCAGAAATGCATAAAATATATGTATAGTATTATATAATATCAACCCAAATTTTACAATGAGGTACTGTAAACACCCCATTTAAAAAAAAAAAGAATGAAGAGAGGGCCAAAAAATTTTACATGGATTTTCCAGATTGCAAGGGCTATTGTGGAAGGTATAACCACATACTGAATCAAGTATATCTCTGTTGGCACTAAATAAAGATCAAAATAATGATGCTCATCACACACACACACACACACACACACACACACACACACACACACTCACACACACACAAACGGTTTCACAGATACTTTGTAATTATTCTCTAGTGGCCCACTGGTTAGGAACAACTGAGCTCACCAGGACTCAAAAGTATAATGTGGTAGCCACAAAAGGTAATACCATGTTAGTGTGCCTTAAGAGAGGAATAAGCTCAGGGCCAGTGATGAATGGGACAGTCCTGTTCTCTGCCCTAGTCAGATCCCATTTGGAGTCTGGCGTTCAGTTCTGAGTTTTTGTTTGTTTGTTCTCTGAGAGTATCAATGACATCAGCAGGGTGATATCTTGATTTGCAAGTGAATTGGATTTAAGTGAGGCAGAGCTGTGCAAAGTCATTAGCCTGGCTCTCTCCTACAGTCATGGAAGTTCAGTGGCAAGACAGAGGTCAGGACAACTGGTGATGGCTCCCAGGATATTGATTGCCTACCGAATGTCCACAGGAGGAAAACCATGACGGTGATGGGCCTGAAGCTTACGTCCCATGGAGATTAGTTAAAGAAACCAGTTAAATCTCTCCAGTTGCCTCTACAATACGTTTTGCTGTACAAATTAAAGGTATTTGGGACACATTCTCAGAAATAGTGAAGTACTATATATTTATCTCCTTTTAAAAGGGGAGCCAGGAGCCTCATTATCTGCCCCTCCATTGTCACCCTAGGGGTAGGAACGCGACGACAGGAGCAGCCCTTGCGGCTGTCGTGACTCCTCCAGGTCCCGCGGGGGCGATGTTTAGCGGCCGGCGACGCTCTAGCCTACGCCTAGCGGCACATCGTCGTTGGTAGCTGAGGCTTTCGGGACAGTAGCGGGAAGATGGCTGCCTCCAGGAGCGAGGAGGGAGCTACCATGGCGAAGGAGGAAGCGGCGGCCGCGGTGGAGGAGGGTCGGGCACGGGGGAGGAGGTCAGGGGTGGAGGTGTTGGTTTCCCAAGACACCTCGGACCCCCCTCCTCAGTGTCCCCACGGTGGGTCCAGGAGCCGCTTCGGCCGGGCACGTGTAGCTCATGGGACGTGGAGGGGTCTGAGGAGTCGGGTTTGTCTCTATGGCCAACCCCCTCTTCTCTGTGTCTGGTCCCTTCACTCGAGTGTAAGAACCTGAATGGGTAATACGTGGACTGCTTGGACAAGTCACTTCACATTTATGGACCTCAGTTTCCTCATCAATAAAATGAAGGGGTTGATTTCTAAGAAGGTCCCTTTCCATAAACCTTGTTCTGCCCCATGCCTTTTAGCTGGAACTGTTCACAATTGCCAAAGGGCAACGTCCCAGGAAAAGCTTCCAGACTCTACGTTTGTTTTTGGCAGGGATATTAGCGATTTAGAGCCCCTCTCAAGCATGGCTAGCATGGCTTTACAAGCATAGGCTTTCTGCTCATTCATGGCAGAGCAAGCTGGACAGGAGAAGGGGGGCTAGGTGCCGGTGACGTCCTTGAACTATTTGTCAGCAACGCCACAGGTTCCTGCTTGTGTTAGGCTATGGGAGAGAGCAGAGTGGGCCAGGGAGCAAGACAATGAGAAATCTTCGCTTTGTAGCCACTGTCTCATAATGAGAATAGTTCACGGTTTTTTATGGTGTTGTACAGTACAGTATACAAATGTTTCTCACAGCAACCCTTAGTGCCAGCACTGATATGCTCAGACAATCCTGGTGTGATGGACTTGGAAGTCAGAAAAAACTGGGGATGGGAGAATTGAGTTCACATCTGCCATTTAATAGCGGTGTGAGTCACCTAAACTTTGAACATCAGATTTGTGGGCTGTAAAATAAGGATAATAATTACACTATCTGGAAGGATGTTTTGAGGAAAGCGTTTTGTAAACCTTAAAGTGCTTTACAAATGTGGATTGTTGTCACCATTTTACAATAAAGAAGCTTCTTTCCACCTCACTAAGCGTCACAGAGTGGCATTCATTTCTAAATGTGTTCAATTTTCAAAAGATGATATGTTTAAATTATTCGTGCCTGAAAATTGTTCCGTAGAAATCATAAATTAATCAAAATGATAGATTTAGCATGATGGGATTTAGTGTCTCCACAGGTGAGAAAATAGTGATCTAGGAAGGTTAGATATTTTACCTAAGGTCACATAGCAAAACTAGGATTTCAACCCACAGTATTAAATTCCAAATGCTCTGCAGTACTGCCTTTTTAACAAAAAACCCTAAAACTTTCACTAAAGTGAAAACTAGCAATTTAAATGGAGCTCTAGAAATGTTTCTTATTCATAAGCTGATGATGCTATTAATTTTTCTTCTGTAGGTCCTACTCTTCTGTTTGTAAAGGTGAACCAAGGTAAAGAAGAGGCTCGAAGATTTTATGCTTGCTCAGCTTGCAGAGATAGAAAAGACTGTAATTTCTTTCAGTGGGAAGATGAAAAGGTATGACGGTCTTTGGAGATATGTTTTTTTCATGTTTCCTGTTATGGCAAGATTGTGCCTATAGAGAGGAAGCTGTATAGCAGATAGAGTTCTGGACTTGCAGTCAGTAATACCTGGATTCAAGGCTGATTTCTGAAAATAGGTATATGATGTGACAGAGAGCCTCTCTGAGCCTCAGGCAACTTTTTAAGACTCTTAAGTTATAACTAGGATCACAAAATCAGTTCCTAGACTGGGATTTCCTACACTGATGAAATCATGGGTCCTTGATGTATTGATATGTGGGACAGTTGTACTGAGAATTCCTAAGAATAACATATATTTTGAATATGGATGTCATAAAGTATTAGCATTGCAGGGGACTTTATGGATCATGTTTTTAAAGATAGGGAAACTTGTGACCCATAGGTATTAAGTGATTTGTTCAAAGTAACATAGCTACTTAAAGCTAAGATTAGAACTCAAGTCTCAGATTCACAGTCCAGTGACATTTTCACTGTCCTGTGATTTAAATTAAGTATGAGAGATCATAGGATTTAGAGCTGGGAAGGACTGTCAAGGTGATGTGATCCAATCCATTCATTTTACAGATGTAGAATCCGAAGCTTAGAGGCTACAACGATACTTGTAATACCTACATATTACAAGCTTATTGTGAGTTTCAAATAAGATAACCTATGTGAAGTGTTTTGCAAATCTTAAAGCACTACATAAATGGTAGCTATTATTATTATCACCTAGGGCCACACAGGTAATAAATAGAAAAACCAAGATCCAAATCCAGGTCTTATGATGTCACATCAAATACATCACTTTCCATTATACCATGAACATGGTGCCATAGCCTTTTATTGCTAGAGATTAGAGTTAGTGAATTTTTATTATTGACAAAGATATTAATTACTGGTCAGTAAAATTGTCTTGAAAATCTAGATCTCTTTCCATCTTTTAATGCTTGAGTAAGATTTAAAATCCATAGAAAGATGATATAACATAGATATTTATGTAAGTACATAAGATGATGTGATACATATAATACATAAGATTATATAACAATACAAAATAAAAGCTTTCGATTATTATTTTTCTCTGTTTGGCTATGTAAATTCTATTTCCTTTCACCAAGATTCTGGCAAGCAGTCATTCCTTGAAAGATAAAACAGTTAACATATACAAAACTAGGATTAAAATGAAGGCCTCCATCAATAGGATTCAGCCTTAAGGAATCAAGAACTCATTCTCTTAAAAGGACATTTAAAGTTGCAACAATATCAGAGTTAAGAAGAATCCACACCTTCTCAACCTGTCATATTCTTACACACAGAGAACTTGCTGGAGACCTTCCTTTAGCTCTTTTTATGTTGTGCGAGTTCCAGTGTTAGTACTGACTCTCCACATTTTACTCCCTTACTCTCACCATATGAATTTTAAGAATCATATATTTACTGAATGTGGTCTTTTACAGTACTTCTTTCACATTTCGTTGTTGGAACTATAATGCAGTCTATGCCCACTCGTTTCCCCGTTGCCCTTTAGGTAATCTGTAACTTATTTTTTCAAGATTATAGTATTCCAAACTACATCATTATTGGGACATCACGGTTATTGAAAAAGATAAGTTTTTGTGTTGGGCAGCAGCTTAGGATCATTAAAAGCACACTTTAAATTTCCCTAGTGCCATCCAGCTGCTCTCTTTCTCCTGTTTAGTTCTGGGCCCAGCTCATTGTTTTTCTGCGCTGCCTGTCATAAATATATGTACTGATGTACTAACTCAGTAGACTGGCTACTATTTCCCTAAAGAGAAATTGAGGGCTGGTCATGACCATGGCCAACAAAAAACTCCACTTTCAGTTATGCTGAAAATGCCTTGTGATTAATTTCCTATGATTCATTTCTGAATTTTGAATGATAAATTCTAGTTACATGAAGACTGAGATAATGGAAAGAATGTTTGTGGCATAGAAAACAATATAAAAACTCTTAACACTTTTAAGGAAAAGTTTTTAGCATTACTGCTTTAGAACAAGTGAATCCTGTTTACAGTTTTTCTCCAGTCAAACAAAAATTCTTACATGAGTTAATTTTAGTGCTTTCAGAGGTTAAAAAAAAGGCCTTCCTAAGTTTCTTACATTTCTTTTTGAAATGAATAGACAATGCATTTTAACTTTAAACTTTATGTTTCTTCATGTAAAAAAAATGCCTGCAGTTTAAAATAGTTGAATATTTGAGAATTTTTGTTTACATGATCTGTGCTCTTTTTTCAGTTGTCAGAAGCTAGACTTGCTGCCCGAGAAATTTACAACAGACGTTGCCAACCTCCCCTGTCCCACAAGCAGTACATAGAAAGGTGCTGATATTGTATTGCTTTTAAATGTTACTTTAACTGTAACCTCTTCCCTTAAAACTAACTACCACTGTGACCAAACCTTTAAACAACACTAAAATATCATTTTTTTCCCCCTGGAGGCTAGGGAAGTGAAAGGAGACCATGAAACTGTAAAATATTTTACTTGGTGAGTAAGAATGGATTAGTGGATTTTATTTGGGGCTAGGTGGGATAGGATTGAGCAGCTAGATGCTGTAATGAGCAAGTATTGGGCCTGGAGTTAGGAAGACTCATCTTCCTGAGTTCAAATGTGACCTCAGACACTTCCTAGCTGTATGACCCTGGGCAAGTCCCTTAACCCAGTTTGCTTCAGTTTCCTCATCTGTAAAATGAGCTGGAGAAGGAAACGGCAGACCACTCCAATATCTTTGCCAAGAAAACCCCAAATGGGATCAGGGAGATTTGGACACGACTGAACAACAATAAAGCAAGATAAGATTGAAAAGAGGTTAATGTTAAGTTTGGGATGGTTATAAAAATCTAGACAGTTTTGTTATTTTTCTTCAGTGATAAGGATCTTGGTCTACTGTTGTTAGAGCTCTTAAATTTCTCTTCTCAGAGTGCAGTACTTTGAGGAAAAAAAGGAATTACAGGAGATTAGCTGAAGTTTGCATACTTGATGCCTTCTTTTTCATGTAAAGTGCTCTCGTGAGATATGAAATATTGGATAGGAGAGGAGGGGAAGTAAAAGACTCCCAGAAGGAGAGTGTTTTAGCTGTTTACAATTTGGTAGTATTCTTCCTTGAGAGTAGTTTTCAGTTTCTTTATGATTGGTGGTATCCATAACCTTTTTACTTAAAATACTTCTGTTGTCAGCTTTTTTGTTAAACACTTGGGATTCCACAGTCTAGTGCCAGGATGGACCTTAAGAGTATCTGTTTCACCTGCCTTATGACATCTGTGTCGAAACTGAGAAATATTTAGTGACTTGGTCTGGGTCACACAGATAGTAAAGGAAAGAGTCAAGATTCAAACCCTGGTCCTCTGATTCCAAATCCTGGCTCTTTTGCCTATTCCTTACTTGTCACCCGTTATGTGCTAGATAGAGTTTTAGTCTTCAGCTAGAAGGCTGATGCCTGCAAAAACTTATAAACCAGTAGAGGAGACATTACACATACAATGATAGTATAGTTGAGGGTAATATGTGATAAGTTCCATATGAATAATCAGTTAGTAAGCATTTATTAAGTAACTAGTCTGTGCCAGACACTATGCTAAGCACCTACAAAAAGGAGGGTGTGGGAATCAGAGATTTTCAGGATCAAGTGCTATTTCAGCTGACTCTAAAGGATTTAAAAGTTTTTTGATAATATAATTTCATTAATTTGGTTTCCATTAATTTGAACTTTGCTAATTTAGGTATCTTATCACCAGAAGCTTGGCTGTCAGGTGATTATTGTTTTGATCAGAACAGTTCATGAAATTCTTTGCTAAGGTATAGAAGAGTTGTGATCTTCATAGGTTAGGGAGGTTCCCATATCAATGAAAGAAATCATTACTCTTTTTAAGTATTGAAGGATTCGGATGTAGAATACATGATTTACTTTGAGTCAAGAGTTTGAAATAGTTTCTTCTAAATTTTGGCTTTTTCTAAGACTTAAGAAATTAAGGATTTCTTTAGTGTGCTTTGGCTTGCTTCCTTCCGGTAATTCATTTTTGTCTGTATGTTATGCAGCTTTGATGCTTATGATAACATCAATTATCACAATGGGGTTGTGATTTTTGAATTGTAATTCTTTTTTCAAACTTATCTGTGCCTATTCGTGTATTTCTTTGCTTGAAAAGAATGAAACCAAATTTCTTTTAAAAGATTCTATGAAGGAGAATGTTCTCTAAATCAAACTGGTCTTTCTACTCATTCTTAGTTAACAAGGTTTTCTTGTGCTTTGATTAAATAATTTAGTTTTAAAATTATGGCAAAAAAAGTGATGGTAGGTAAAAAAGTTAAAACCATGTGTTACCTAATTTGTATTAGGGAGATGACAGTATTGCCCGCCTCTCTGAGTTCCACCAAACAGAGTGAGGATCATTCTTCTTACCTCTTGAACTCTTGGGATGAGTTCTTAAGTATAGTATTTATTTTTGTGGTTAAGCAACAGCTTTTCCTTTTGGTTTTCAGATTGCTTCTTGAAGGTGTGCCATTACGCCCTTACCAAAGATATTGACACACTCTCACTGTGACCTATAGAGTCCTAGTAAGAACTTACATGGATGCTAAAATCAGCATTAATTTATGTGCATCCAGATAGCTTTATTTAGTTGATATTTCATTTGGTTGTTTTTTTTTTTCATTGCTCATTTAAACTCGGATTTTCAAAGTCTGCTATTAGGGAAATACCATAAACATAATTTGTCTACTCCGGGAAAGGCAAATGGAACATCAAAAGGAGATCAATAAAAATGACATTTCAAAATGCTAGCCTGCAATTTGTGAATCATGCTGAGCTGAGCAGCAGAATGAATGTTTTTTTTTCCTAGGTATGTGTAGTAAATATGAATAAGGAAGGAAAATGGAATAATCAACAGTTCTTCAAATCTTCACATTTTTCTGACCAAATTTTTAAAAACCTGTATCTGATTATCTTAATTTAGTGATTTATTCAAATGATTACATTATCTTGAGAGAAGGAAAGCATACACAAGAAATATCAATTAACAATCCCCCCCAATAATAAAACTAGTGCCAATAGGAATAAATGAAGTTTATGCCAATAGGGATAAATATTTTCTAAAAAAAAAGCACAATAAGACTCATATGCTATAAACTTGGAATAATATCAAAATAAAAACATTTTAATGTAGCTAGTGATTTGAGTGCAGTTCCAGATTTTTTTCAGCAGTCTCATGGTTTAGCAATGTGCTCTTTAAAGAAATGGTCATTGTATGTCCCTTACAGACTTTTAGTGTAAACATTGAAACTGACGCTGTGTAAAGACTTGGTCAGTTTTTTGCTTGGATAGAGACTTAGACAAAGCTTTTGGCCTTTTTATTGTAGAAAAATACCAATGAGGGAAGTTCTTCTGCCTGTGCAGATCAGCAACTGTTTTACAACATATGGTCTTAGTTGTTTGGAACACTGCTGAGTGATTTGTCCAGGGTCCCACAGCCATATGTATCAGAGGTGGGTTTGAACCTAGGTCTTCCTGACACTGGCTAACTCTCAGTGTAATATATCACACCCTTTGTAGAGGAAACAGACGGCTGTTATTTAAGTAAAGGCAAGCACTCATTCTATAAACTAGTACTGAAGATCCCACAGCTGAATTGAATTTGGATAATATATTCATGTTCCTTGAACATTAGATTAATTTTTGGTTATTCAGAATTTCTCCATACTGTACATTTGTTCTGTACATTTGTTCAAGCTTAGTAGGAAAGTCTAGCCCCTCATTCTACAGGTGAGGAGATTGAGGTTCGGAGAGGTCAAGTCCATGTATTTTGCCTAGAGTAGCACAGCTAAGTAAACATCTGAGGCAGGCTTCTTTCTGACTCCAAGTCTAACACTCTGCTATACCATGTTGCCTCAGATAGCTAGCTTTTCCTGTCTTACCTGAGGAGGTTCTAGAATTCTCAGATATCATGTAGATTGGTCTTATCTGTTGAACCTAAGGAAGGTCATGGGAGAGCAATGTGAATTTTTTTTTTTTTTGGTGGCTAGAGAATGGGGCCCTTGGCAGATTGTTCATCTCAAGACCTCTGATCAGTTCTAAGATTTTGTTAGAAACTCCTTGAGGTGCTGATTGAACAAAAGTATAAAATTGTAGGTGAAATCTGCTATTGGTTTGCTGAGTTCTCACTTCTCCCTTGATTTTAATTACTTAGTGGCCCTTTTCAACCTACTGCTGCTTCAGTTCTGAATTACTGAAGTTTCTTCTGATATATGGATAAGGTCATCCAAAGGGCAATTCTAGAAACAGAAACATTTGTGTTATTGTCATGTCAAACACTGTGTTGTATTAGAAAAAGGTTATCAGATTTGCAGTCAATAAATCTGGGTTTGAATCCAATTTCTTTATCTCTTTGTGATATTGGTGTAAGGTGCTTTACCCATTGGGTCTCAGTTGCCTCAGAGTATTGAACTAGGCAGTCTCCAAGCTTCAGCTCTGAATTTGTTTTTAAGGTTTTTTGACATCGGTGCTCCAAAGAACCTCTGTCAGTGCCAAGGGTGGTTTGACATAAGGCTTGGTGCTTAGATGAAATTGGAATTGATTATACTGACTTTATGTTTAGTTCATTGTGTACCTGGTGAAGTCTCAGTAGTTAGCTCCACTGAAATCATAAGAATTTACCCAAACTCTAGGGATCCTTTGGAGGACCAATTAGATTTAGATTTAGATTTAGACATTTCTAACCATCTGCCATAACCCTAGTGGATTTGCTCTCTCCCTCTCCTCTTTTCTCATAGGTTAGTGAACCCTGAATTCAGGCACAGTGCCTGGCCCATAGTGAGTGCCTCATAATTGCATCTTCTTTCTTTCACTTCAAAACTGATGTGCATTGAAAGCATGAAAGCAATCTAAATTTTTTAAACACTGACAGTGACTAGTTGTTTTTCTCTTGGCCAGCATCTACATGAGAACAATAAATTATAAGGAATGTCAATTTTAAAAGTGGATGTAAAAATGATTGGAAACGTCTCATTTGGGCCATATGACAATTTCCTTAAAGAAAAAAAAAATATCATGTCAGCTCTTTCCAGGGGTAGACTTTGAACATGATCTGGATTATAATCCATTTCTATCTTCTGGGACAAAGGGTTGGGGAACATAATCACCTTTTAATTGGGCTTCATCAATATTGCTGAGAATAGAATTCCTTTATAGCAAACATCTGTTCTTTAGAAGGTTATTATTCTTGCTAAGTATGCCATAAGAGCTTGAAAAATGACCTTAACTTTTCATTTTGTAATGACTAACACACTGAGTAAGACTGTTTTAACATTTAAAGCCAGAAATACATAGATTTGTCAATAGTTTTAAGCATTATATTTGTAGTAGTGACCTGAGTTGGAGTTATATATTAAGTTCACATTTGAAATAGATATTGATCTTCACTCAGTGGCTAAATTGGGGCATCTTCATTCTTATGAAATTGCTGATTCTTTTCTACTTTGTAGTTATTCAACTAGATATAAATTATAGCCAATGTATTTTTCTTTTCCATTTTTCAAATAATTATTTGGGGTTTTAAAAAGTACTTTTTGAATATTAAAATATTAATAATCCAGTGTCATCCATAGAAACTGACTTAAAATTTGTTCATCTTGTTGAATTGTGTATTGAAGATATTGGAAGTTTATTGAGCTACCCTTATCTCAAAGAAAGTTTTGCCGAAGATGTCAACAGTTACTGTTACCAGATGATTGGGGAAAGCATTGTGATCACCAGGTACTTTGTGATATCTCCATTGCTCAGTTAAAAAGACCCAGTCAGCTCCTGTATCCACTGGAGAATAAGAAGACAAATGCTCAGTATTTGTTCACAGACAGAAGTTGCCAGTTCTTACTAGACCTAATTTCCACTCTTGGATTCAGGAAAGTGCTGTGTGTTGGAACACCAAGGTATGTTAATTTTTTAAAAATTCCATCATCACTAGAAACAAATCTTTATGGAGTACATGACTTGCCACAGGGCATATGAGATATATAGTATAGTTCTTAACATGAAGTAGGTGGTAGCAATCTATTGTTCCTTTTAGAGAAACACCTCTAGGCCAACAGGGTGGTAGATGCCAAAGAGTTAATCATTTTGGAGATTTCATATATGCTATCATATTCTCTAACATAGCTATACTTGCCAAATGTTGATCAGGACATTGAGAGAAAGGAAAGGTATACTTAATGTTCATTTTTATTTTTTTTATTCTTTTTCTTCCTCCCTCTCCTTGGAAAGGCTTATGTGTTCTCTCTTATTTATGAGATTTTTTTTGTCTCTGCTTGGCTTTTGCAGTTTCAGAGTTCTGTGTTTCAGATAAGGAAAGGCCACTGTCTTTTAAAAATTAACAAAACTGATAAGTTGATTTTGAAAAACCTGCCCAAATCCCATTGCTTATTTCATTGAAAGTTTTGTGGAACCGAGCTTTCAAACATTGGAAAAAATTGATCATTTCAGCTTTTTTAGCTGTCTGTGGTGTTGTTAATTTCTTACTAAATTGCTTTCATTAATTGCTTCAGGCTGCATGAGCTGATCAGATTGAAAGCATCAGGCGACAAGGAGTCTGACGTTAAAAGCCTTCTGCTGGATATTGATTTTAGGTAGGTTTACAAGACATGATATTTGTTCTTTTTTTCCAAACATCTCCTAGTTTTTGCAATTTTCTTTATTTAGTTTTTTTATTATCTCTGTTTTCCCCTCTAATTGGGTCTCAAAGGCAGTAGTTGTTTATAAGATAACTTTTTGGTTGTTGGACACAAAAACTCGATCCCTATTCTGTTATATTTTGTATATTGGGAGACAAAGTCTGTTCCTGTGCTTTGCCTAATCTGTTTCCTGCAAAACATAGTTTTGTCTTGTTTTTAAAGTTTATTATATTTTGGCTTCCTATTGAGTGAAACTTCTCACTCATTTCATTCTGAAGTGAATGCTTGAGCTCCTTCTTACTTAGCCAAGAATTTGTAGAATTTTGCTTCATCACCAGATCTTCAAGTTATATCAAAACATAAATTTTTTGGTCCATTTCATCTGGAGAAGAGTTTATTTCCCTCCATTGGCTGCTTATTGGAGTGAAGGGGAAGACCAACTAGAGAATAATTGATTTGCTATGATTTCATTTTCTGGCTATTGCAAACCTTTTTGTTTCTTCTCAAGTCTTCCATGGCACTCCCTCCCCTCCCTCTCAGATGAGGGCTTTGCTATGTACTTCACTGAAAATATTGAGCCCATTCTCTAAATGGTCTCTTTTCTTCCCTTTTCATGTCATCATGCACATGCCATCCTCCTCTATCTCCTCCTTCAGGAGAGGTGGCCCTCCTTCTTGCCCAAAGCCAACTTCTCTACATGCACACTTGATACCATCTCCTGTCTTCTGCAGCAGATTGCTCCCGCTATTATTCTGATTCTCTCTATTTTTCAGTCTCTTGAGGTCTACTGACTCCTTCCCTGATGCTTACAGACCTGGCTACATACCTCCATCTTTAAAAAATTCTTGCTTGATCTGACCACCCCCACCAGCTATCATTCCATCTTTTCTTCCATTCTTGGCTAGACTCTTTTTTTTGGCGAGGCAGTTGGGGTTCAGTGACTTGCCCAAGGTCACACAGCTAGTAAGTGTCAAGTCTTTGAGGCCAGATTTGAACTCAAGTACTCTTTTTTTTTTTTTGGCAGTTGGGGTTAAGTGACTTGCCCAGGGTCACACAGCTAGTAAGTGTCAAGTGTTTGGTCTGAGGCCGGATTTGAACTCAGGTCCTCCTGACTTCAGGGCTGGTGCTCTACCCACTGCACCACCTAGCTGCCCCGAACTCAAGTACTCTTGACTCCAGGGCCAGTGCTCTATCCACTCTGCCACCTAGCTGCCCCTTGGCTAGACTCTTGAGAAAGCTCTCTACATGCAGTGTTCTTGTCTCACTTCTAAACCTGTCCAGTCTGCCTTCTGACCTACAACTGCTCTCTCCATAGTTGCCACTCCTAGCTACTGTCTCCACACTAAGTTTTCATGACATCGTTCTCTCCTGGTACTCCTTCTATCTGTCTGACCATGCCTTCTCACTCTTCTTTGCTGTATCTTCATCTAGGTCATGTGCACTAAATGCTTATATCCCCCGGCGTTTTATATTGGACTCTCTTCTTTTCTCCCTCTATCCTATTTCACTTGGTGATCTCTTCAGCTCCCAAGGGCTCAATTATCGTTTCTGTGCAGCTGATTCTCAGATTAATGTATTCACCCCAATCTCTCTTATGAGTTACAGTCACCCATTTCCAGCTGCCTGTTGAACATCTTGAATTGGATGTTCTATAGGCATTTCAAACTCAACAAGTTCAAAACCCACTGTATTATCTTTCCCTAAAGTTCTTTCTTCTTCTCAACTTATCTTGTACTGTTGAGGGCACCACCATCTTCTGAGTCACCCAGGCTCAAAACCTCAGTATCATTCTCAATGCCTCACTTTCACTCATCCCACATATCCAATCTGTTGTCAAATCTCGTTTCTACCTTCCCATTGTCTCTTGTATATCTCTCCCCTCACACAGTCACCACCTTGATGTAGGCCCTCATCACCTCTTATCTGTTTGAAAAGCTATTTCAACAGCTCGACCTTCCTGCTTCAACTTTCTTTCCGCCTCAATTTATTTTCCACTCAGCCCACAAAGTAATTTTCCTCATGTGTAGGTCTGACCCTGTTGCTTCTCTTTTCAGGAAACTCTGGGGCGTGTTACCTCCAGGATAAAATATGAAGTCATTTGTTTGGCATTTAAAGTCCTTAGCAGCCTGACCCCTTGCTGACTGCAGTTTTCTTCTCCATGTGCATGCTCTGTAATCCAGCCTTGTTGGTCTCCTTCCCAGTCCTCACACATGACGCTCCATCTCCCAACTTAGTGCCTTTGCACTGGCTACCCTTCATACCTGGAATATTCTCCTTCCTGTTCCCTGCTTCTCAGGTTCCCTGCTTCCTTCAAGGTTCACCTGAAATCCTACCTTTACAGGAGGACTTTCTCAGTCACCCCATACTGCTAGTGCCTTCGCTCTAGAATCACCTTCCATCTATGCTTGTATATATCTTGTATGAAAATAGTTATTTACATGCTATTCTCCCCCTCCCCCATTATAATGCAAGCTCCTTAAGGGCAGGGGCTGTTTTTGTCTTTCTTTGTATGCTCAGCACTTAGCACTGTGCCTAGCATATTGTAAACATTTAATAAATGTTCTTTCTCCCTTCCTCTCTTTCCCTCTCCCTCTCCTTCTTCTTCTCCATCTCTCTCCCCCCTCCCTCCTTCTCTCTTTCTCTATCTCTGTCTCTCCTTTCCTCTCCCTTCCTCCCTCTTTCCTTCCCTCCCTCCTTTTCTTCCTCACTCTCTTTCTGAGGGACTGAGGTTCAGGAGAGAGACAAGAGTTGGATATATAGACCTTGAAATCTTTTGCATAGATATTATATTTGAACATACAGAATCTAGGAAGTTCTGACATGACAAACAAAAAATACAGTCCTTATCTCCAGGTACCTTACATCCTCGTAGAAGACATGTAGAGGAATGTTGAAAAGTATGGGATACTCCATACTTGGAGGATAGCTACATGTGGGAAAGGAAATTGAAAAGCCTGGAGAAGGAGGAGTGAAGCCAGGAATCAAATGAGCATGACCTGGGCTCCTCTTGAATGTGAATGGCTCTCTGGGCCAAGGGCTTAACAGTCAGAAGAGAGGACCACAAGGAAATGGAATGTGGGAGGCTTGAGGAGGGAAGAGAAGGTTTGGAATAGCTTCCAATGGGGAATCAATTAGGGAGGATTGCCTTGTTGCAGCGTCTGTCCCCGTAATGCACTCTTTTATCCCCTTATGCCTCAGAGAATCCCTGACTTTCTTCGAATTTGATTGAAGTGTCACTTCCTGTAAGCCTGTGCTGACCTTCCCAGTTGCTAGTGCCTTTAATCTCAAAATTCCTTGTATCTACTTCATATATCTTGCATTTGTTTATGTGTGTGAGTGACATTTCCCCTCAGTAAAATGGGTGCTCTTTCATGGCAAGGAATCATTTTATCTTTGTATATCCAGCCCCTGGCCCAATGCCTTAATAAGTACTTTTATTATAAAGCTGTTAGTGGGCACTTCAACAATGCTTGTACAGAGGGGAGAAGGAGTCTGAGAGGATGGAAATGATTTGTATAAGGTAGTACAGGCAGTCGGTGACAGACCTGGGATTTGATCCTAGGTCTGCAGACTTCAAATCCAACATTCTTTGCCCTCTATGGCATTGCCTCCCTGTCATGGAAAGACAATGACATTCAGTGTGATTCTTGCCATGAAACCTTGGAAAAGTCATTTTACTGCTCTGGGCCTTAGCTTCCTTATCTGTAAAAATCATCTCTTAGGCCCTTTCAAGTTCAAAGTCTGTCATCTTTTAGCTTTAATAACAGAGGCACAATCAGAACTCAAGTGCCTCATTTCAGTAACTTGGCTTTGGGGCTTCTGTAGTGTTGTAATGTTACAGGTATTGCTAAGCAGAAGCATAGAAAATGTCATTCATCAGAAAAGGAAATGGGCTTATCTTGGAAAGAGTGAGGGATAACAGACCTACTTTGAGTGCTCCCCTGGTGCCCACATACTATGTCAATACTCAGAGAAAGATTCCCATCATATTGAGTGGATCCTTCCTACAAGAATGTGAAGAAGAGCACCCAGGATATGGTTGAGCGGCTGGGCTGCAAGCCTCACTGTTGGAGGGAGCAACCTATGTCAGCGAGATCTTTGATCACTTGAGTATCATTGAGTGATAATGTAATGTGTTATTCTTGCATTTGAATTTAAGTTGTACAGTGATGATGATTTTTCTTTAATGTTCTCAGGACTATAGTAGCTTTCAATTTGGTCTATTCTGTGGTGTAGGTTGAAGAATTCCAAAAAGAAACCAGAGGGAATTCTAATGGCTTATGAGCATAAATAGTATCAAGCAACTTGTTCAAATTCTAAGAGCCTTAAATTTTCCCATGAGTCTGATTTCATTTTTATCCAGAAGACTAGCATTGACTTTTATATAATGTTGTAGAGAGTGGATATTTCCTCTTTAATCTCTTGCTTTGTGACTTTTCCTCTTTGCAAATGTAGTCTAAACTTGGTTTTAACTCAGAGAGAAAGGGTTATTTATTAATTAAGAAATATTCCTCAAGATATTTATCTAATTGGGGGCAGCTAGGTGGCGCAGTGGATAGGGCACTGGCTCTGGATTCAGGACGACCTGAGTTCAAATGTGGTCTCAGACATGTAACACTTACTAGCTGTGTGACCCTGGGCAAGTCGCTTAACCCCATTGCCTAGCCAAAAAGAAGAAAAGAAAAGAAAAGAAAAGAAAGATATTTCCTTAATGAATATTTCTTTTAAAAGGAGGTGGGGGAGAGAGATGGTCAGATTGTTATAAATATATATTCATGTGTTAGAAACAAACAGATTCAGGTCTATCTTCCCTAATTTTTCAGCCCATGAATGCTTTAATTCTGGGGAGATGTCGTTTAAAATTTATGGCAGCCCCAATTAGTAGAAACACATTTGTAGCCACAGATGAAATCAAACTATGGATCAGCTTAACACTCTGTGATTTAAGTATATAG